CTGCCGCTCCCCTGGGGCACAGCTGCTCCTGTGGGCTGGGCAGGGGCCATCACCGTCCCTGGGGTAGCAGCGGCCACATCCCTTCCCTCCCTTGGTGGCCGTGGGCCCAACTCCACAGAGCTCGGTGGCTGTGGATGCCCGGGGGCTGCGGGAGCGGGCAGGGTCAGAGTGGGCAGCCCCACGCTGCCTGCACTGCTCAGGCCATCCCTGCTGTCCCCAGGCTGCGCAGGCACGAGTCCTCGCTGTCCTTGCAGCAGTACTTCCAGTACGACACCCTGCAGCAGAAACTCAGGAGCCTGGAGGAGGAGAACCAGAAGCTGCGCATGGAGGTGAGCACAGCCGGCTGCAGGATGCCCCTCAGTGCCCACCTCTGCCCTGCTCTCTCTGGGGACACCCAGCTGCCCCCTCAGGGAGACGGGAGGTCCCGCCTGTCCCGCTCAGCCCCTCCAACCCTCTCCCCCAGGCCACCAGCATCGCCACTGAGACCTGTCAGTACGAGCAGCAGGAGCAGCAGCTGATGATCGACTGCGTGGAGCAGTTTTGTAAGTAGGGCTCGGGGCTCTGCCCAGGTGACTGGGCTGGGGCCGGGGGTGGTGCCCGGCGGTGACAGAGCCCGGCCCTCCCGCAGCCGAAGCCAGCCAGCAGGTCGTTCACCTGTCGGAGGAGCTGGCGCACAGGGCAGAGGACGCGGCGCGGCAGCAGGAGGAGATCAGCCAGCTGCTGGCGCAGGTCGCGGACCTGCAGCAGAAATGTCGCACGGTGAGGGTCCCCTGCCCGTGCCGGGGGGACGGGGGGGTGCGGGCACAGCGCCCTGACCCCGCCGCTCCTGCCCGCAGTACGGCTCCGAGGTGGAGGAGCTCCAGCAGCACCTGACGGCGGCCAAGGAGGTGCAGCAGCAGCTGCGGATGGAGGTGAGCCCGGGGGGAGCCCTGGGTGCCCCCCTGGCCGGGGATCCTGCCCCGGGGCCGTGCTCCAGCTGTGCCGGTGTCCCCGCAGCTGCGGGATCTGCAGGAGAAGTACGCGGAGTGCGGCGGGATGCTGCAGGAGGCGCGGGAGGAGGTGAAGAGCCTGCGGAGCCGCAGCCTGCCCAACAGCACCGTCAGCCGCTACAGCGCTGCCAGCCTGCTGCCCGTGGTGAGCGGGGACCGGGCGGCACGGGAGGGGTCCCTGCTGTGCCCCCGGTACCGACACTGCCACTGCCCCCCCCCCCCCGGTACCGACACTGCCCCCCCCCCCCCGGTACCGACACTGCCACTGCCCCCCCCCCCCCGGTACCGGCACTGCCCCCCTCCGGTACCGACACTGCCCCCCCCCCGGTACCGATATTGCTCCCCCCCCCCCGGTACCGATACTGCCCCCCCCCGGTACTGACACTGCCCCCCCCCATACCGACACCGCTCCCCCCAGTACCGACACGGCCCCCCCATACCGACACTGCCTATCCCACCCCCAGGACTCGCTGGCGGCTGAGATCAAGGGGATGATGAGGAAGAGGACGGACAGCTCCTCCTCAGACTACAAGTGAGTGCTGTCATTGGCCACTCGCGCTGTGCCATGGGCCCGGCTCCGGCTCACCCCGAGCTCCCTCCTGCCCGCAGGAGCTGCCAGCGCGTCTTTGAGACGGTGAAGGCCGTGAACCAGGCAGCCAAGGCCAAGTCCTGCTCTGAGTCTCCCCACCATGTCGCGGGCTCCAAGCAGCTGTCCACTGCCCACTCTGGGGGGGCCAGCACCCCCCAAACCAACTGCTCCGGCTCGGAGGATGCTCAGTGAGTGCTGGGCTGGGGGAAACGGGGCCGGGTGAGGCAGCGGCTCCTCCTGCACAGGGGCTGGGATGCTGGAAGCAGCCTGGGGCAGGGAGGGCAGGATCTGGGGGTTCCCAGCACAGCCTGAGGTGCAGGGCAGGACTGCAGCCCTAACGCTGTGCCCCCGGCAGGGCCGCTGGGGCCAGCGGGGAGCCCCGGGCAGCCCCGGGCCGGCAGGACCTGGAGGCGGCGGTGCAGCGGCTCTCGGAGCGCTCCTTCTTCGAGGCAGAGCGGGAACGCAAGCTCTGGAGGCTGAGAGATGGGGAGAGCTCCAGCGGCTTCCTCACCCCCGAGGGCAGCGTCGTCTCCACCGGGACAAGCTACTCCGGGGGCTCGGAGCTCACCGCTGGCTCCGGCTTCTCCCTGGGCTCCCTCACCTACTTCCCCGACAAACTGCAGATTGTGAAGCCGCTGGAAGGTGAGGGGCAGAGGGGGTGAGGAGCTGCAGGTGCTCTGAGGCTCCAACAGCCCCTCCTGAGTTCCCCCCGGCTGTGTCCCCCCCTCCCAGGCTCTGTGACGCTCCACCACTGGCAGCAGCTGGCACAGCCCAACCTGGGTGGGATCCTGGTGCCCCGGCCCGGGGTGCTCACCAAAGACTTCAGGCAGCTGGACATCGACCTGGAGGAGGTCTACAGCCTCAATGACCTGGAGGAGGACGATGTGGACGCCAGCTCCTTCCAGCTGCTCCCTACCTCAACACCCGCCAAAGCCAAGGAGCGCCCCAGGGGTGAGCGGGGGGCGAGGGGACGGAGGGGCCGCAGCCCCCGGGGTGTCCCTGCCCTCCTGTCTCGGCTGGCCCTCGCCTCCCCCCGTGCTTTCTCCTCTTGCAGCAGCCTCTCCCTGCCACCCCCCGGTCCCCAGGGGGATGCTCCGCCTGCAGCTGTGCAAGGGCGATGCTCGGGCAGCTGCCCCGGCGGGACGAGCCGTGGCCATGGCCCTGGCGAGCCCCTGCTGCCCCCCGGCTGCCTGCAAGGGGCCGCTCTGGCATCTCCTGGCCCGCCCTGTGCTGGCTGCCCCCTCTGAGCAGGCACCAGACGCAGTTACTGCTGAATCTGTGCCCCGTGCAAGGAGCTTCCAGCCCAGCTTTGGCTGCCCCGCCTGCCCTCTGCCGTGCCTTCCTCCTGACCCCTTGTCTCCTGTCCCTTCCAGTGTTCCTCTCTGTTAACAACCTCCCCCAGACCCCGTCTACCTTCACCATCACCACCTGCCACATCCTCCACCCCACCTCTGCGATCACCACGGTGACTCCCAGGTAAGGCGCGGGGCCCCCGCTGCCTGCCCCGGCCCCGCCGAGCGCCCTCCTCCTCCTCCTCCTCCTCCTCTTCCTCCTCCTCCTCCCCTGTGCCTGGCTCCCTGCAGCTCGAGGAAGTGGCAGCCCCTGATGCTCTGAGAGGTGCCAGCGCCAGAAATCTCCCCAAATGTGGCTGCTGGGCTGTCTGTGGATGGGTGGATGGATGGGTTGGGCTTGCCCAGAGGAGCAGTGAATGCTCCTGGCACTCTGGGGAACAGACTCAGCTTTTTTCCTCCCTCCACACTTGGGCAGCAGCCAGGAACTTTTCGCAGCCGGCTACTGGGCTGTCCCCTCACTAATGAGCACCGGTGATTAGCCCTAATGAGCCCCCCTACGGCTCGCTGGGGGTTGGTTTGAAGCTGGAGTTCGCTGTTAGACAAAACCCTGGTGTCTGGAAATTGCTGCTGGAGCAGTGCCTGTGTCCCAGTGTGTCCTGGCTGCCGAGGAGCAGCCCCCAGCACCCCTCTGGGAGCTTTGGGGTCTCCTACAGCCCAGGGCTCTTTAGGGGAAGGACAGGAGGCCCTGCCTGGCCCCCTCAGCAGCATCCCCCAGCTGATCCCCCCTTCTGCTCTCTCTTCCCCTCCAGTCTGTATCATGCCGTCGTGCCTTCTTGTGGGCCCTTTGAGGGGCTGAGCCTCTGCAGCCCCTCACCAGAACTGACTCCCCCCACGCTGGCGCTGGGCCCTGGACCCCCCGGCACCCCCAGGGGACTCCTCAGGCTCCTGCTGGGCCGAGATTCCCACCTGGCACCAGGGACTGGATCGTGGTGGGCCCCCTCACTGCACTGCCAGGACCCCCAGCATTGTGAGCCCCCCGTGGCCAGGGGCCAGCAGGGACCCCCAGGCAGGAGCAGCACCTTCAGCTGGAACCTGGTGGAGAAGCTGCAGCGCCTGGGGCTGGACAAGGTGGTGGCCAGAGGGGAGAGCTCCTGTGCCCAGCCAGGGCCCAGAGGGGCCTGGGGCACCCAGAAGTGACACTGCTGCAGAGCCCCCAGGCTCAGGGTGAGACACATCCTCTTCCTCACCCATGCATGGGGAAATTCAGACAGGACAAGCTTCAGCCTCAGCTCCTGCTGCTGCCCCAGGTCCATCAGCGCTCCTGGCACCAGCATGGGGGGCTTTGCCCTCGCTGCAAGGACAGAACCTGGCACTGCTCCCCATGTATGGGGGGTACAGGGGGTGCTGGCTGACCCTGTCCCTGCTTGGGGGAGTCTGGACCCTTCACAGGAGCCAATTTCTGGCAATAAAAACTGTTCCTGCTTCTGCTGAGCCTGTCTGCGGAGCGAGGGGCAGCTCGGCCCGTTTGGGGCTGTCCAGATGCTGCAGGGATGGAGAACACTCAGTCTGGGCTCAGGTGTGTCCTGGGGCAACCCACTGGGGCCAGGGGGACACCCCTGCACCCCGGGCTGGGCCCCTGGCCAGCACCTGGGCTGGACTGGCCTTTAAAGGGAATGGTGGTTTAGCTCTTTCCTGTTCCCTGAGTAGCAATAGTAGAGCACCCACAGCTTGGGATGTTTCTGGGGGTGTTTCTGTTGCTCCCCCTAGCTGTGTCCCTCCCTCCAAGCTGTGCCCAAACCCCTGGCAAATAAATGTGAATTCACAGAGCAGCTGCTGTGTGCTGTGTGTGCTGCCATGTGCTGTGTGTGCTGCTGTGCCCAGTTCAGTCTCTGCCCCTTGCACCCCTCTGGGGCTGGGGGCAAATCCCCTCTGCCCTCTGGAACTGGGGGCAAATCCCTTCTGCCCTCTGGGGTTGGGGGTAAATCCCCTCTGGGGTTGGGGGCGAATCCCCCCTGCCCACCTTCCCAGGCTCTCCCCAGCACATCCAGGAGTGCAGAGGCCGTGGTGCCAGAGTTTTATTGAGGGAAAGGGCAGGCCCTGAGTGTGGCAGTGCCCTGCCCAGCCCAGCAGCTACACAGCCCCATCCTCATCCTCAGCGCTGCGGCGGCCGAAGTCCATCCAGTCGGGGTAGAAGTGGTCGTGCAGAGCCTCCAGCCCCTCATCCTCATGCACAAAGGCCTTGTGCTTGTTCAGCTCTGCCAGGGCAAAGGCAGCAGTTAGAGCTGGAAATTGCTGGAAATTGCTGGAATTTCCCGTCCCCACGGGGGCCAGGCTGTGCCCACCCCCCCATAGCTCCCAGTACCTGTGAGGATGTGGGGCAGGAACTGGGACAGGAGGTGCTGCTGCTCCTGGGACAGGTGCTGGGGCCAGTCCCGGCGGGCCAGGCTGAGGGGGGGCTCCTGGGGGTCCCCCAAGGCAGCTGGGGGCCGGCACAGGCTGGGGGCCACTGTGAGGGCGAGGATGAGGCACAGGGACACCTTCATGGCTGTGGGGACACTGAACGGGGGGGAAATGGGGCAGCTGCAGCCCCTGAACTGAGCCAGGCTCAGCCCCAGCCCATGGACAGCTCACAGTCCCCTCTGTCCCTCCCTTTGTGTCCCCAAGTCCCCTCCATCCCTTTCAGCTTCTCCCCAGGCCTTTTCCATCCCTCTCTCCTGGCTGGTTCCCAATTCTCCTGGAATCAGAGTGAAGGCAGAGGGATCCATAAGGATCAAGTCCCACTCGTGGCTCCTTGCAAGGATGCTGGAAACTAAAGCCCATGGCTAAGAGCATCATCCAGCTCCTCCTTGAACCCAAACAGCTGGGGAGTTTCTCCTCCCCCGGGCATGGCCAGGCCCCAGACCCCCTCTGTTCCTCTCAGGGGGACTCTGAGTTGCTCCCATCTGCTCCTCAGGCTTTCCCCACCTCTCTCTCTCCCCAAGTCACCTGCAGCCAGTGCCAGAGCCCTGTGAGACTCACCTGAGGGTTCTGAGGCTCAGCAGGGTGTCCTGGGGGTGTCCTGGGGGTGTCCTGGTGGGTCTCAGTGGGTGTCTCTCTCTAGGATCACCCCAGCTCAGCCCTGCTTTTAAAGGCACTGCCGGGGCTGCCACACCCCAGGGCGGCTCCACTCACATCCACCCACCCCCGGGGGGGGCCCACGGGCATCTGTGTATGCTCACAGACACACAGACAGACACACAGACACACTGGCAGACCCACACAGGCACACAGGGAGATATATATACATATATAGATATGTATAAAAAATATATATATTAAATATTATATTTATTTCTTTATTTTTATATTTTATTTATATATATATATATGTATTTATATGTATATATGTATATATGTGCATATATATGTATGTATGGAAACACAGATATATGTATATACATGATTGCTTACATAAATACACACATATATGCATATATTTATATGTGCATTTCTACATACATGTGTATACACAAGTATTCACAAATATATATCCACACACACGTGTTGGACTCCATGATTTTTGGAGTCCCTAACCTAAATGATTCTGGGATTATGTGTGTGTGTGTATATATATATATATATATATATATATATATATATATGTGTGTGTGTGTGTGTGTGTGTGTATATATATATATATATATATATGTATGTATATATATATGTATGTATTTATGTATATGTATATGTATATGTATATATGTGTGTATATATATGTATATATATGTATATATATATTTATATATAAATATATAGATATATGTGTATATAAAAATATATAATATATGAATATATATTAATATTTGTACACATATATCTAAATCTGTACACATTTATACATACATGTATATACATACATACATGCATACATATCTGTTTATAAATAGCAATATATATGCAAATACCTGTATAAACACACATGCACGTGTATATATGTATATACAGAAGTATGTGTGTGTACATATGTGTATTCTTACACGTGTGTCTGTGTGTCTGTACACACACATACATGGATGTACCCACACCCAGGTGTGTGCACATGTTTATAACGTGCTGTGCCAGGGCTGCCAAGGGCTCTGTGCCTCTGGGGTTGGGGGCTGTGTCTGTGAGGCCCCTCAGCAGGACACAGACCCCAGAGCAGCCCATTCTGCAGCTCTGGACCTCTCCCTGCACCCCGAGAAGCTTTGGGGTGCTGTGGGCCCCACTTGCTGTCAGAGCCCCCTGAAGATCCTGTCTGTCCCCACCCACCCCCACTGGATATTGACGGCTCCTGCTGCCTCTATTGAGCTCCCATCCGGGTATTTGCAGAGCCCATTTGTCTCCCTCCTTCAATAAACCCTGTGAGAGACATCCTGGGCTGGGGCACATCACTATCCCCTGTCCCCAAGGAGCTGTGTCAGCTCCTCAAACACCCCAAAAACAAATGGGCTTTGGATGGCAGGAGGCAGCAGCACCCAGCACCCCTCAGCCATCGATCGCTCGCTCCAACGAGCACCTTGCACAAGGAACAAACAAATTGTTTTCCAATTTCTGCCTTTTAATGGCTCAATCTGGACCCAATGAGCCGTCAGGGTGATGGGGACACGGTGACTCACGGGCTCTGCATCACCCTGACGCAGGTTTGTTACCAGGCCTGTGGGCATCAGGGCTGGACCCTTCGCCAAGGCTGAGATGAGGATGGACCAAGCTCCCCTTGCCCCTGGGGCCAGCTGTCCTGGCAGTGGCCAAATCTGTTGGCAGCCTGGCAAGTCCAGTGGGGAGAAATCCAGGCTGGACATGCCCAGACACATGAAGGGCACGGGAATTCTTGGCACAGCGGCAGCAGAGCAGAGATTGGGCTGGCTCAGGTTGTGGGCACAAAAGCACACCCTGGTGTGGATGCTGGCCTTGGTGCTGTCAGCACTGCTCTTGATGTGCAGGGCTGGTCACCAGTCTGCCAGCACCTGCTCCCCAAGGCATGGGCAGGGCTGGAGGGCACCAAGGGATGGGCAGAGCTGGAGGTCACTGCAAGGGATGGACAGGGCAGGAGGTCACTCCAAGGCATGGGCAGGGCTGGAGGTCACTCTGAGGTACAGGTAGTGCTGGAGGTCACTTTCAGGCACAGGCAGGGCTGGAGGTCACCCTCGGTGCACTCACAGCTGCTTTACATAATTGCAGCAATTCCGTTTCCAAGAGCAAAGTCTCCCAGGAAAGCAGCAGTGACCTCGGTGCTCTGAGCACACATGGGACATGGGGGCACTGGGGCAGTGGATGAAGAGCCAGAGCCTGCCCTCCTGCTCTGGGGGGCTGCAGGAGCATCAGCAGTGACCAGGGTGGGAGCAGCACCCCAGGACACCCCAGCCCTCCCTGCTGCAGGACAGATGGGCTGGGGGCAATGGCAGAGAAACCCAGGTTTGAAAATCAGCATTTCAGTGCATTTCACACTGCTCCAGTGGCAGAGGCACCTGCCAGCCCCCAGAACCATCACTGCCCTCAGCCAGTGCCTCTTACTGAGATTTCATTCTTGCCTGTTGAGCCTGAGCTCACGAAACAGAGAGCACTCAGCCCCTGACCTTTGGCAGAGCCTGACCCGAGTGGCAGCACCTCCTCCTCCTCCTCCTCCTCGGAGCAGTTTCTGGGAAGCAGAAGTGACCCTGCCCACGGGACTGCCAGGAACACAACGAGAGAATGACTCAGCACCCACCCACCCCTCGGCTTTCCCTCAGCTCCCAGCAGGAGCAGCACACATAGCACCAAGGGAACTCCCTCTTCCTGCAGTGGGGGGCAACCCCCAGGCCCCCCAGGGCAGGGAATCCCACCAGGGCACCACTGCTGGCAAGAGGAGAAGGTGCTTCAGCCCCTGGGAGTGATGGAACCACCACACATGGGCTTTTGAAAACCAATTTTATTTAAATAATTTTAAATACATTACAATAAAACATTAGAAATGAGACCAAAGCCATGTAACTGCACAGGGTGTGAGGCAGCAGCAGCAGCAGGCTCTGCAGCTCCAGGGATGCTCCTGATGTTAGTCCTTGTCACGAGTTTAACCCATGGGACAGCACCTGGCACCTCAGGGCTCGCAGGTACCAGCACCTGAGCTGCAGCCATGGTGCCTCCAGGTCACTCTTGTGTCACTCCTCTGCCTCCAGGAGCCAGCACTGCCCAGAGGGAGCAGGTGGCACCAGGCAGGCCAGGACGGGAGCACAGCTGGACTGAGGAGCCATCAGGACAGGCTGAGTCCCTGGGGGCTTAGCTGGGAACAGCTGGAACTTGTGGCTTCAGGCTGGGTGGTGCCAGCACTTGGGTTAGCTCTGGGAAATGAGGGACAGCCAGACGAGATAGCATGGGCTCGTGTCAGTTTATTACATCACCAATTACAACAGTCCAGACTCAACAGTGGACCCAAGATCGTTACATTACACAAACCGGCTGGTTTTAAACTTATGACAAGGGACAGGTGGGAATTTCATGGTAAGGATATCTTCTTGCATAAAGCTCCAGTGGCCCACAGGCACTTAAAACCCGTGGACTTTCAGCTGGTCGTCTTTAGCCAGTCCAATCTGCAAGAGAGAAAACAAATTCACAGTGTGGGGTGATGCCTCTGTGCATCCAAACACTGCCCACACCCAGGGATCTGTGTGCATTTATCAAATCTGTGCTGATTTTAGGTAGTGAAAGGTCTCATAAGCTCTTGGACATCTATTTCACACCCAAGATAGCTCAGCTACCCTCGAAGGCATAAAATCAGCAGTATGGCTTCGGCGGTAGTGTTGGAAACAAAAAGGTTTCAATAAAAGGCAGAATAACAAAACCCTTGACAGAGAAAAACCAATCCAGGTGCAAGAGGTTCTCGCTCCTGGTAAAACACCTCACAAAAGCCATTAGTTTTTCAGCTTCTTTGCTCTCTTCTTTTTCTAGTAAATTGCTCAGGTGGGGCTTTTTGGCTCTTGTCCAATTAGCTATCCTTAAGTTAGAGATAAAGCCCATAAAGTCCTATGAGGTGTCTTTTCACCTAATTAAGGCAAGAAACTTCTGGGCTTATTTCCTTTTTAAGGGGACAAAGGATAGTTTGGTCACTCCATCAACAGGGGGCACAATCCTACAGCAGCTGTCCTACCTCCACAAGGAACTGGCAGATGTTCTTGCGCTGGTCACCCTGCAACTGAATCACTTCTCCATACTCGGGGTGCTCAATTACAGTACCATTGCAGGCAAATTTCTGCAGCAGAGACACAAAAACCTCATTAACACCACAAACATCCCTGCTGGGCGTGGCCGCTGCCCCACCCCCGAGCCCCTTAAGCCCCACCTTCTTGAAGGCCTTCACCAGTTTCTTTTTATCGTAGTCATCCGCGATGCCCTGGACTGTGGTGAGGGTCTTCCTGCCGTTTCGCTGCTGGATCCTTATATGGATGTAGTCCTCAGTGCCGGCCGGGAGCAGGTCATCACCCTTACTTGCATCCGCAAAGGGGTCTGCGGAGAACGCCGTCAGGCCCCGCCCCAACAACGCCCCATTGGCCGCCTCACCCGCCCATCATGCACACATCCCGCCCCATTGGCCACCGCGCCCGCCCGTCATCCCTCGGCCCCGCCCCCGCACGCCTGCCACTCACTCATAGATCCCACCCACGCCCCCACCCCATTGGACGCCGCGCCCGCCCGTCAGGTTTGGGTCCCGCCCCTCGCCTCCCCCCCCCTCCCGCGGCTGACGCAACCGGGCCCGGAATAGCAACTGCGCCACGGGGCGGGGCCGGGGCGGGGCCCGCGCGCTCCCCCGGCCCTACCGCACAAAGGCCCTCACCGAAGGGCTGGAGGTTCTGGATAGCGGACATACGATACGCTTCCCTTCCCTCGGCGGAGGCGGCGGCGGCGGCGGCGGGGGCGGCTCTGGCGGCGGGAGCGGCTCTGGGCGGAGGATGCTCTCGCGGCGGCGGCTCGAGGCAGTGTCAGGGGGGCGGGACTGCCGCCGACCGCTTATATACCGCCCCTGCGTGGCGTCATCACGCACGGCCAACGAGGCCTGTGATTGGTCG